ACAACGAAGTGAATCAGTTATACGTACATGTATGTGTATATGTGTATGTGTACGTATACATGTACGCATCCATTCTTTTTTAGATTTTCTTCCCATTTAGGTCACCACAGATCACTGAGTAGGGTTCCCTGTGCTAAACAGTAGGTTCTCATTAGTTATCTATTTTATACAATAGTAGTGTGTATATGTGAATCCCAGTCTCCCAGTTTGTCCCACCCCCACCCCCCTTGGTAACTGTAAGTTTGTTCTCCACATCTGTGACTCTGCTTTACCAATAAGTTCATCAGTACCATTTTTCTAGATTCCACATATAAGTGATATTATACAAGTACATTTTTAAAACCACTGTCACCATTACAAAAAGAAAGGAATTTTGACACAATGGAAGAAGAACAAAAATCTCGGAAAAAAGATTTTGCTGTGAGTTAATGAAAAACCTTATACACCAGCCACTAGTCAGCAGACCAGAGCACTCTAGTATCCATTTCTAACCTTTAGAAAATACTCAGCATTCCTCTTTTTCATGCTCTGTTTACTTTATCACTCCTGACATTACCAGCAGAGACTTTAGATGATTACAGAGCTGTAAGTATTAGAGAGGTCAGTTCCCCCAAATTTTAAGGACTAGTACTTTCCAGATTAGAGCATTAATAAATTGAATAAGGATTACATTCAGAACCTGGCAATTTACCTTGTGTGTAAATGGCTAATTGCAAAATAAAGTATCATTTAACTAAAAATTTGTACAGTATTCCTCTTCTGATAGTTTTGTTGCAGTGCAAATATTAGATTATACTCCCTAAGTTAATCTTTTCAGCATTAATTGGGCACTGTTCTGCCTTTCTTTATACTTTGCAGTTCTTTAAAATAGCAGTATCTGTTAAGAGAGCAGTTAGCCATTTGAATAGATCTGCTTTTGTTGTCAAGGTATACCTTTTGCCACTCTAATACATGATAACACTTATTTGGGTATTGTCTAATATTACGGAGTGTTCGTTTATGTTAAGATTAAAAGATGAGCTTGATTATGGAAGTTATTTTTGTGTGTTTTCTTTGATAACCAGTTCATTTTTTTTTATATTTAAGTTCTGTGAATTTGAGAGCAAATTACTCATAGTCTTAGAACTACTTTAGCATGTGCTTTAAAGACTGTACTCTCCAAATTGGAATACATAAGAAGATCCATTGGGATGAAGGAAGAAAATATTAGGCTTTCTGTTTATACTATTTTTTATCAAAATATTAAGCTTTACTCATGTTTTATATATAGTCATTGGCATTCTTATTTAGGATGTTAAAAGGTATTAATTAATTAATTGGGGAGAGGAAGATGACAGAGATAAAGCAAATGGGGTGGAACTTGAGCTGGGTTAAGAAAAAATAATGCACATCATTTTAGGCATTGGACATCAGTAGAGGGAGGGAGGGGGTACATGGTAAAGGGTACAAGGAAAGTCACCCTAAGCACCCAGGCTACCGTACTTTATTTTGAGAGAAAATTCATGGTCAGTAACGTTTGGGCAAAGACAAGAATATTTAGAGATGACAGTCGTGTTGGAACCAAATGATTGTATATGTGAATAAAAGAATATACAGTTGAGATTAATTTGTGGAAGACCTGTATCATATGAGGAAGTTATTAGACTTTATAGATGGTAGAAAATGGTAGGGAGTTTTTAAATGGGAATGTAAATTAATTGGACTGGTATAGATATGTTGGGAGATGAGCAGTGGGAGGGAAGCCCTTGAAGATAAGAATTTCTCCTAATGTCTCATTTACATGTCTGTTTCTCCTATTAGATTAGTATAGTACACTTTCCATAAGTAGAAAGTTATTTAGTTCTGTATACTGAGTTCCTAAAACAATGTCTGACACATAGTAGGTATTTAATAAATCTTGATTGTATGAAGACCATTCAGGAGAGGCTAGTTTAATAATCCACCCAGCTCCATAGTGAAGCCTGACAACAATGGGGGGAAGGACTATGGGTAACAGGAAGGCAGAACTTACGTTCTCAGTTTTCCTTCAACTGTTAGCTGTAATGGAGCTGATCAGAAGTAAGACATTCACCTCAGTAGGATGGCTGGGTCAATTAGTAGTGTGTATACATATTTACTTTATAGCTTTTTTTTTTTGTTTTTTTTGTTTGTTTGTTTTTTTGCGGTACACAGGCCTCTCACTGTTGTGGACTCTCCCGTTGCGGAGCACAGGCTCCGGACACGCAGGCTCAGCGGCCATGGCTCACGGGCCCAGCCGCTCCGCGGCACGTGGGATCTTCCCGGACTGGGGCACGAACCCACATCCCCTGCATCGGCAGGCAGACTCTCAACCACTAAACCACCAGGGAAGCCCACTTTAAAGCTTTTAATAGTATATTATGTTACGAAGTCTCATCTGAGTGAGAGGTTACTTTTAAAGTGAGGTTACTTTTAAAGGTAATAGTATAAAATCAAACAAGATGGAAGCCTAAATCAAGATAATTTCCCTTACTTTTCTGCAGATTTTAGTTTAATGACAAATCACAGTATATTTCAGTGTGAATGTAATTCCTGTCCTTTTTCCATAGGTTCCCTCTTTTAAAAAAAAAAAAAAAGCTGATTTATGCATGTGGCTTTGTAGTCAGCAGTCTGCTTTCACATCTTATTTAATCCTTAAAAGAACCTTATGTGAAGTTAGTAGGAGTTTTTGTCCCATATGACAGTTGGGGAAAAGGATTTAGAGTGATTCAACCCTAAATCACATAGCTAATACATGATTGAATTTATATTTGGCATTATATGTAGAGAGTCAGAAAGGAAAGTATTTGTGAGGCAAGGCTCTGGAGTCAGAACTGGATTTTAGTCTTGGTTTCAACACTTAACCCTATGTCTTAGGCAAGTTATATAATCTCTTTATGGCCTCAGGTTTCCTTATCTGTAAGGCGGGGGGGGGGGGGGGGGGGGGGGGGGTTTGTTGGTACTTACTTTAGTTTCTGTAGGTGTGACTGTCCAATATAGTAGCTGTTTGCCACGTGTGGCTATTTAGCATTCTTTTTCGTACTGTCTTATTAATAGTTTTAATATTGATTACATTTTGAAATGATAGTATTTTGGATGCGTTGGGTGAAATATAAAAATTAATGTTACATATTTTAACTTTTTAATATCTGCTAGAAAAATTTTAATTACATATGTGGCTTGGGTTATATTTCTGTTGGACAGTACTACTCTAGACCAGGGGTTGGCAAACTCTGACCCCCAAATTCAGCCAGATTCCTATTTTTAGAAATGCAGTTTTACTGGAACACAGTCACACCCATTTAATTATATATGGTATATGACTACTTTAATGTTACAGCAGCAGAATTATTTGGTTGCTACATATAGAACCATACGGCCTGCAAAGCCTAAAATATTTACTGTTTTATCCTTTATAGAAAAAGTTTGCTGGGAATTCCCTGGCGGTTCAGTAGTTAGGACTCTGCGCTTTCCCTGCCAAGGATGTGGGTTCAATCCCTGGTTGGGGAACTGAGATTCCCACAAGCCACACGGCCAAAAAAAAAGAAAGAAAAAGAAAAAGGTTGCTGACCCTTGCTCTAGATTGTAACTGATAGATGCTCAGTGTGTTACATCTTTACTTAAGAGTGGATATGAGATACAGAAAGTAGATTAGTGGTGGGTGCCAGTGGGGAAAAGGTAGTAGGGAGTGACTGCTAATGGGTCCCAGGTTTCTTTTTAGGGATGATGAAAATGTTCTGGAATTAGATACCAGTGACAGTTGTGCAACTTCGAAGATACTGAAAACCGCTGAACTACACTGAAAAAGATATCTCAATTTTTTTTAAGTGGATATGAGCCTGGTTTGGTAGAAGTAATAAACCAGTACCTTAAACATGATACATGTTAATGATAATGAGAACATGCAAAGAAACAGATGCATATCAACTATGGGGAACGTAAGAAAACATTTTAATAGTTTTTATGTATTCCCATGCCACTTGAGAATATTTGCAAGTAGTTTTTTGATAAGCAATTAGCTATCATTTATTGCGTACTCAAACTGTCAGTTACTGCTTACCCTATTTCTTTTTAGTTGTAAACTTAACTTTAAGATAGTGCACAATAATACATACATAGCCAGTCTCGGTAAATAGTCACAATAATACATACATAGCCAATCTCGGTAAATAGTTAAATGAGTGAATACGAAGTATAAATAAAATCTATATTTTTAAATATTAGTTCTCTTCTGGAAACACTTATCTAAATATAGAAATCATGGCTTCATGAAGTTTTTAGTAACCTTTTGAGAGGAGAAAATATTAGCAAAGGGAATTGGAAAGCCATTCCAAAAATGTCCATATCTTGTGTATGTGTAGGTGTTTTTTCTTTAATGAATTACTACACATCTACCATATACAAATCTTAGGTATTTTCACACTGCTTGGAAACTGACAAAATATTACCTATTTTGTACAGTTGACTCATTAATTTGTTATACGAAGAGTATGCCAACAATCTGCTTTACGAAATCAAGAAACCAATAATCAAGTACATCATTTTCCTTCTGACCACTAGCAATAGGTTTTCGTTTTATTGCTCTGAAAACATCATGTTATAGTACCTTATTTATGATGTAAGTTAGGATAGCATGATGTCTAAGGGCACAGACTTTGGAGCCAGATAGACCTATTTCCTAATTTATTAACTTAATGCAACCCAGACAGCCTATTTAATATTTAACATCTCTAAGTCTTTGTTTCCTAATCTCTAAAATGGGAATAATACCTTTCTAGTGAGCTTTTTTTAAGGAATGAAGAATTGAATGTAATGTACTTATATAGTAACCACTGAATAAATGGTAACCTCATACTATTATTGCCATTTAATATGTTAAGTTTTTTAATCAAACATTAAATTTTTTTGGTTGTCAGCATCATACATTTTATTATGTATTTTACTGACTCCTACCTTTTCAAAAACATAATGAAATATTAAGTAACATTCTATTTTACTTTCAGTCAAAGAAAAATAAGAAGAAATCAAAGTCAGATGCTAAAGCAGTGCAAAACAGTTCACGCCATGATGGAAAGGAAGTTGATGAAGGTACTTGAGCAAGTGAAAGGACTGTAGAAAAATTTTTAATCCTTTTTTACCAAGGTGCATTATATAAAAGCTGCATTTGTTTCGCTTAATCTTTTATCTGGCTCTTCTTTTTAATAACTATAGATTTTAATGTACACATCTGTGACATTGTTAGGAGACACGTTTTTCCCCTAAATTATTTAAGTATCTAACAATGCTTTCCTTGAAGGGAACTGCCTTGAAATTTAAGGTCTAGCCCAATATCTTGAGCAATTTAAAAGCCGTTCATTTTGTCTTTGTTTCCTAGAAACGTGGTTTGGTTTTTTTCCCATTGTTCTTAAATATACCATCCCTAGAAGGCTGGGTGCGAAATTCTTAAGTAAGCCATTTATTGTCCTCACCTAATAAACCCATTTATTAGTACGTATATATAACAGTCCCCTACTAGTACTATCCAGCAAGATAAAAAATATGCACGATAACTTACATCAATTTTTTCCTAAACCATAGATGACAGATCTGATAAAAATTACCAGAATAAATAATGGCAGTTAGCTGCCTAGAACAGCGAGATTAGAATAAATTCATAGGATAAATTAGTATAATCAGCACTCTTGGTTTTTAGTTTAATATCTAAATTTATCATGATACTTCAGATGCCCCACCATGTTTTCCCCCCAAAACTACAACTTTTTTGTCTTCCCCTTACTGAATAACGTTTTTTTTTCTGGGGCTATGTCAGGAGCCTGGGAAACTAAAATTAGTCACAGAGAGAAACGACAGCAGCGTAAACGTGATAAGGTGCAGTCTGATTCTGGTTCATTGGATTCAACTATCCCTGGGATAGAAAATACCATCACAGTTACCACCGAGCAAGTTACAACTGCATCATTTCCTGTTGGTTCCAAGAAGAATAAAGGTATATTAGTGGAACATAAGAGTGATACATCAAATCCAACTCCTTTTAATCAGATGTACAAAATATCATTACGTCAAAATCTGGCTATTTTAAACTGCTTACATCATTGTGCTGATATACCCTTCTTCGTGAGAGTACTGTGGACCACGTATTGGTTTACCTGATACCAGCAGTGTTACTTGTCACATACTGCCTAATGAATGGCCTGTTAAATTAAAATTGCCTTTCTGCCTTGTCACATGAGAGAATGATTGCTGCTTTTTTCTCACGTGTATTGCTTTGCCCCAACTCCCTAACATCTCCATTTCTTATAGTGGACATTCATTAAATGAAATGACTTGTCACCATTCTTTTCATTCCAAGATGAAACAAGCATGTTCTGGATAATACAGGTTCTATCTGGATTTCTTAACACCCCAACTTTTTGAGAATGCTGTAGGTGTTTGATAAAGCTAGACTGGAACTGCAAACATTATTGAGCTAATGTTCTTCCCAAGTATTTCACATGTTCAAACTATCCAATACTGATGGCTTCTTGATAGTTCTTACATTGCCATCACTTTTACCCTGGAGACATCAGTCTACAGAGTGATGCTGTTCATCTTGCTTCAGGCATTGACTTTTCTTCCTTCACCTTTTCATTAATTGCCAGCACCTCCCACTTGTCTCCAAACCTCTGTCTTAGCCTTGGTGTCTTTTACTTTTTTGCTTGATGATTTGGTGGAATTTATTGCTGTGGTACAGCAGTGACTTCTGCTTATCCATTTTCACTGTCACATATTAGCCATGCTGTAGTGTTTCTGTTGGTGACTCCTTTTCACTGTCTTGTGCATGCCTTCCTTGCTAGCACAATCCTATGTCATGCTGGGTTTTTGATACCTTGTGATCATTATGCTTTTCAGTGTCAGAGAAATAGTATCTTTGTTATAACATGTAGTCTTACCGCTTGCCATATTTCCTAAGTCCTGCTCCAAATATTGGCAAAATTCTTCTAAGTTGATGTGTTTGCTTCCAGGATTGTTGAAAAGGCACCTAGCTGGTATTGCTGAGAGGTGGCAAAGTTGAATCCAATTACAGAGCCCAGTTCTTCAATTCCTACTTTAAAGAATCTTGATAACCATTATAGAACAGGAGACTCTATATATACTTGGGCAATTTTCCAGGTCCTTTTTTGGCATTTTAGTTGACTAAGAATATGATAACTAGAGAGCTCAAATCCTTAAGGACATGTGAAATATGCTGTGAGTAAAAAGTGGCTCTTTTCTAGTGTAAGACTTTAGTACTTAAAGGAGCAATTTATGATAAATAATTAGTAAAAATTAATTTGTATGTTACTCCTAACTTAATGTGCATAGTGGCCTATTTAGTATTAAATAAATTTTATTTCTATTTCAACCAGGTGATTCTCATCTAAATGTTCAAGTTAGCAACTTTAAGTCTGGAAAAGGAGATTCTACACTTCAGGGTGAGAGAAATTACATGTAACTTAAATTGAAGGCCCATCAAGATAGAAACTTATATGTATGTCTCTTTCCTCACATGAATGACACAGAAAGAAAAAAAAAGGCTTAGAAATGATTTTAAATACTAAAGTAACATAATCACAGTTCAGAGGTTTTAGAAAATAGATAAACAGAAAAATCACTCCCACTTCTAACAGTCTTTGGTATATTCTAGTTGTTTCTCCCTCTCCCCTATATGTAAAAACATTCTTTAATAGTTATGCAATTAATAGTTAATAGTTTATATGCAATTTTGATTCTTGCTTGCATTGTTTAAGCTAATAGAGAAAAAGATTTTTTTTTTTTCCGGACTTGGGTTTGATATAGGCATATATGGGATAAAAGACTTTACCCCTGAAATTAGATAAGAAGCCTTAATACCTATAATCTTCTAAACTGCTTCCTGAACAGTATCACATATTTCATAATAAATGGACTATAGTATAGAGTTATGCAGTACTTCACAAATAGAAAATATATTTTATTTACTAGTTTATGATAAAGACTGAATTAAGTAGAGAATGATACACCTTTCCTAAAAACTAAAGTGTAGTAAAACGTAAATTCACAAATGAAGAAGCACCTTCTCGTTTCAGGCTTGTTCTTAACACTGTCAGCTTCCTTCATTCTCATGGTTCTCAATCCTGGCTACACATTACAGCCATCTAGGAAGCTTAGAGAACCACACACGTATATAAAAAGAAACATGTACTTACATACACACACCTATGTGTATTTGTGTGTGTGTGTATATATATACACCACACAGATAATACATACACATGTGTACATATACCTGCATATAAATGTATACACACAAACATAATGATGTCTGGACTCTATCCCTAGAGATTCTGATTTTGATTGGTTTGGGCTGAGGCTCCAGTGTCTACTTTTAAGAAATTTTTCATTTCTTTCAAGGCTTTTTTTTTTTTTTTTTTCACGGGCCTAGCCGCTCAGCGGCATGTGGGATCTTCCCGGACCAGGGCACGAACCCGTGTCCCCTACATCAGCAGGCAGACTCTCAACCACTGCACCACCAGGGAAGCCCAAGAAATTTTTCATTTGATTTTAATGTGCAGCCAGGTTTTAGAATCACTGCCTTATACTATATATATGTATGTGTGTGTATATATATATATATATACACACACATATTTTTAAGGAAAGCGCATGTAACTAAGAAGAAGTCTTTATGTTCTTAGTGGGTGAGTATTCTGAGTATACCAGAATATGTGTTTTCTTCTTTGCTCTGTTTTACTTCTTTTGAGCAAGTCAGTCTGCTTTTGAAAACATAATTAGTATATATATTAAGTTCAAACATACTCGTAGTTTTTAAATTAGCAGTCATCCATGGTGGTCATGTCACTTTTTAAATTCTTCATTTTATCTGTAAAGCTTGAGCTATTTAGAGGATAAATAAAAATATAAATATAAATCAAGCAATTATAGAAACTTGAAAATATCCCAGTTTTAACAGGGAGTCATGTATCCATTTTTAATCTTTATTTTCTTTTCTTTAAGTTTCTTCAGGATTGAATGAAAACCTCACTGTAAATGGAGGAGGCTGGAATGAAAAGTCTGTAAAACTCTCCTCACAGATCAGTGCAGGTGAGGAGAAGTGGAACTCTGTTTCACCTCCTTCTGCAGGCAAGAGGAAAACTGAACCATCTGCTTGGGGTCAAGACGGTGGAGATGCTAATGCAAATGGAAAAGACTGGGGAAGGAGTTGGAGTGACCGATCAATATTTTCTGGCATTGGTAAGAACTGTTAGAAAATTTTAAGTTTGTTTAAAATGCCTATCTGGTACATTTAAAATTTTCCAAGAATGAAAAACAGATCCATTAGTAGAAAAATTAGTAATGCTATACAGAAAGAATATAGATTAACTCATCTCACATCCTTCACATGGAGCAAAATGGGAACTAAATAAGTGAATAATAGCATTTATTATTTACTCTTTATTTAATTATTTCACTTGTTTTTATCACATTTGATTATCAGTTTAGCTAACTGATATAATTGTGTATTTTTAGTGATGTAATAAGAGTAATGTGTAAGCAGACTTTTTGACTGATTTCAACAGTTCTACTATTGAGTTTAAATAAAAGTAGTATATGGAGATACAGTTTATAGCGTCAATTTATATACTATTTTACAGTCTACAAAATGCCTATTTGTAATTAATTTTTCCCCTGGATTCTAAAGATAAAGACTAGTAGTGAGAAGCTTATTTCTGTTGAGAGCCATCGAGTTAAAAGCAACTTAATTTCAGGTGTGTTTGTGTGTGCATGTGTTATAGAAAAGAAATCCATATTTAATATGGAAAACTGCAAAAAGAGAAGGAAAAACCCACTGTTATACATTACCCAGTGACAACCATATATTTCCTTATGGTCCTTTTTTTTTTTTTCTTTCCTGTGTACAATTCTGTGGGTTTCATTTTGGTTTTTTTACACAATCCAAATCATACATGCATTTTTGTGTTCCTCCTCCCTCACTTAATATTGTGCCTCAAACATTTTCTTTACTTTCTGTATTTTATTTAATGACCATGTGATACATTGTGTAAACATAGCATAAACTATTTCACTATTCCCGTATTATCGGAGAAATAACTTCTTTTTTTAAAGAAATGTAAATGACGTTGCATTGAATATATTTGTTTGGGGGTTATTTCTTTAGGATAGATTCTTGGAAGTGATATTATTGGATTAAAGGAAATATGAATGTTTACTCTACGACATGTTGTCAAAGTATTTTCTAGGAGAATTCTAATTTATCCTGTCAGCATCAGTATGAGTGCCATTTATCATATGCTTACCAAGGTTGAGTATTCTTATTTTTTTAATCTTTTCTAATTTGATAAGGAAAAAATACATAAATTGTTCTGGTTAACTTTTTAAAATCACTAATGAGGTTGAGTGTTTTTCACAACTTTGTTGATCATTTCTGTTTCTTTTGTAAATTGTCTGTTCATGTTCTTTGCCCATTTGTGTAATGGCCTCTGTTTTTTGTGCTTTAAGTTGTAATTCCTTGTGCATTAAACATATAATCCTTTCTGTTGTGCTTGTTGCAGATATGTTTTGCTTGGTTTATTTTAGTTTGGGGGAGCAATAGACATTACAGAGTTTTTAGTGTTTAAGTAGAAAGAACTGTTTCTTTGCATGTTACTTGCTTTTCCCATCACTTGTAAGCTTAGAAAAACTCATGTTGACTAACATCCCTAAGAAGCAGACTCTATATCATTTGCTAATATTGTTCTTCAGCTTGTCCTCCCCTCTTCCCCTGCAATGTCCAGAAATTGTGGAGAAATATCAAGATTTGTTTGGAAGAAGAGACAATCCCTAAATTCCTAGCCTCGTTTTCAGCAGTAACAAAAGCATAAATTTCTATGCTAATAAAGCATCCTTTCACACTTAATAAAAGAAATGGTCAAATTTTATCAAGTAATCTTAAGAACAATGACCTTTTGAGATATTTGCAATTTACTTACAAAACCTATGTAGCATTTTCATAATTAGTACATAAATTAGTTGGTAGTACTTGCTTAATGTTGCTGTAGACAAACTTAAGCAGCAGATTAGAGTTCCTGCTTAGATGGACTAGGACCTTTATTGAAATTGAAAGGGAACTATATTAAATGAGGTTTGCAGTGAGTTGCTGAGAAGAGACAGATGTGACTTGTCTCATGGATGTATATATGTTCCTTAAAATACTCATACGTAAGTAGGCAATTGCTTTAAAATGTTGAGAAGATATCATGGTGTAGTGGAATGAGCTTGTTCCTAGTTCAGACAGACCTATTTGGGATGAATCCCTATTTTTCCACATACAAGCTTTTATGGATATTAGGCTAGTTATTTAACCTGTGTGAATCCCATATTCAAGTAGTTGTAAGGATTGGCTATAATGAGTGTGAAGTACCAAGTTTCAGTGCCTCATCCAAACTAGTAGCTTAATTGTGGTAGATGATCGTGTAGCTTGCTGTAGAAGAGAAAGAACATGGGCTTGGAAAGTAGGTTTAAGTTCCAGTCATGGCTCGGGTGTTTTCTGTCAGCAGGTCACTTAACTGCTCTGAAACTTTGCCTAGCAGGGCTGCCCTAAGGATTAGAAGTAGTTGGTGTAAAGAGCCCAGTACATAATAGACATTCAATAAATGGTAGCTATTGCCATATTAGGTGGTTCTGATTTCTAAGGGTATCTTTAAATATTATTATCATAGTTATAAATCTGTACGTATCTTTCAAGTTTCATTGCAAATTGAAGGTTCCAAGTGACGTTCTTTATTTTAACAGCTGCTTGGTCTAGTGTGGATAGGGGAATGAATACCTCTGAACAGAATTCTGCTTCTTTTGCATCTCTCACACTTAACTCTGCTGTTTCTGGTATGTGAAAACAGTCTTTCATTTAGTTAACAAAAAAATTTTGTTTAATTTTAGCACTTGCTATTTGAAAAAAATAATCAGAGTCAAGTACTGCTATCCACATAAATTATAGATATACAGTATAAAGTAGCAGAGGCCTTAATAAAGAAAGACCTAAATTCTTACCTGCAGGTGGCTTAGTTCCTTTCTGTGGTGGAGATCAGAAGATTTTGTGGCCTAACTTAACTGAAAGTGTGTTGGCACACAGATGAATGCAAATAGAAGGCCTTCCCTTCAAGGTCATGACACTCTTCTGTTACTAGTTTACCCCTACCATAATTCTACTTGTAGTTTGGCATTTTATTTCTATCTGCCCTTATTCATCATGAGTTTATAGCTTTCGGGTTATGTGGACCCTCTGAGTATCTGTTGAGTTAGAAAATTCATTATTACTACTAAACTACTATAATTCAGCATTACTTACATGGTTATGCCTTTTATTAATAATATAGATGCTATATATACTTAACAAATACTACATAAACATGGGACACATTTAGTTTTGTAATGTTTAGTTCACGTTAGAATTCATGGACCCAGTACTAATCTTGTAGTTCCACAGTGTCTGGCGTCACCTAGTCTAGAATAGAGGTCAGCAAACTTCTTCTGTAAAGGGCCCAATAGCAAATATTTTAGGCTTTGTGGGCCATACCGTCTTCTGTTGCAACTACTTAATTCTGCCATTGTAGCAGTAAAGCAGCTAGAGGCAATACATAAACCAAATGAGTGTGTCTGGTTCTGAAATATTGTTCTTTTGATTTTTTTTTCAACCATTTAAAAATATAAAAACTGTTCTTGGTTCATGGGCCATACAAAAAAGGGATGGTTAGATCTGGCCTATGAGTTGTAGTTTGCCAACCCTTGGTCTCATAGGCTACATTTTAGTTCCAGAGGTACAAGTTAATTTCTTCCTTCATTTGGTGACTTTGTACAACACAGATGCTATTCTATTCATATATTCAGAGAAAGCTGCTAAAGAAATAGCAACAGTGTTACTGTAGTCTTTCTAAGCAGCTAATGTGCTATTTATATATGAATTTTATAGGGTTACTCCATTTGTCAAAATTTATATTTAAAATATATAACTGTTTTGAGTATATTTCAAGCATATTAGTGGAAGGCTAGTAAGATCATCTATAACCAAGTGAAAATTTATAAGTGAGTAAGGACTTTTGTGAGGGGAAGTGTCTTTTATACTAACAGGTATTCTTCTTAACCCTTTATCAGTGGCTCTGAATGCAAAGTGAATATCACAGTCACCTAAGAAGGACTCCAAAACATGTGCAAATTCTGATTCAGAAGGTCTGGGGTATATAAATCCCTGATGGAAAACCACTGCTTTACATTTCTATTCTAAAACGAATTTATGGCTATAGAGCCAAGGATTTTTGACCTGGCATCCTTTAATTTATATGCAAAACTTTGTGTAAGTCCTGGACAGTAGTCCAACCACAGCTTTCATCATATTGCTAAAGGACTGTGTGACCCCACTCACCCCACCTATTCCCCACCTCCTAAAAAAGTAAAAACAGAAAAAATTTAGAAGATAATATTCTCTTGCTTTTAAGTGCACTTGAACTTACCTTGGTCTCTAAACCACCAGCACAACTGTCTTATTCTCTTTGGCTTCTTTCTGCCTTACCTCTCTAGATAGTCATCTATTTCTTTTATTTTTTCTTAGGCAGAAGGTTCTAGCAAGCTCAGACATTTTCTAGTTGTGTCCTTCAGGGTTCTAAGGATAGAGGCATACCCTGAAATTTCCAGTATTTCTTTTATGCTTTATTATTTTTCATGAAGAAGAAAAATAAAACAATTTTTCTTTGACTTCTTGAAATTTGTAGATACCTGGTTTGAAGTATATATTATAAAGGACAAAATCTAAGGGATTGGTACTAGGGAAAAAATATATTTCTGATCAGTGAATTCAATCCAGTGATTATCGTGCTTAATCTAAAATTACCCTCAATTCTGCTTTTCTTTATCTTAACTCTTTTTCTGATGTCTGCAGTTTTCCTTTTAGGAGAAATAAAAAATAATTAAGTCTTCGTGTGCAAAGTATAGAACTATTGTTATGAAACATCATTAGAAAATTCCATTTTTAATTTTATTGCATTCGTTTTCATTTAAGGGTCTACTGCTGAGCCAGTTTCTCAGTCTACCACTTCTGATTATCAGTGGGATGTTAGCCGTAATCAACCATATATCGATGATGAATGGTCTGGGTTAAGTATGTCCTTTTAAAAATTATCAGTTTATTTTTGTTTTTGTTTTCAGAATTTTCTTTCTAACACCCTAATTCATGCTTTATGTTTTAATTTTAATCCTAATTTTTCACCTTTTAGGTCATAGTAATATAGTTTAATACCAAATGTATACTACTTGTAAACTGACTATTGAATACCTGTAGAATTAAAACTAAATTCACTTTTCATGATTCAGGCAATATTTAAACATGAAGTTTTCTTATAATTGCTCTGTAGTTTGTCTAGTTTTTAAATTGTTTTAAATGAATGTTCTATTTCTTTTCCTAGTTTTAATATAATAGAGTAAATAGAATATACAGGAATGGCTTTGAATTCATGAGGTATGCACGTTTTTATATTGGTAGAAAACCATTTTCTTAGTCTCATTTCCAGTAGAAGCATAGGAAAGTTAAAGGCAAGAGTCACAAAAAAAGAGGAAGGGAAAAGGAAGAATATGGTTTTTATGTTCAGAAAGTTCATACCATCTTCATTTAAAAAAAAAAAAAAACAGATTTTCTTTTTCCCCACAACCTTAAATGTTAGAATTTAAAACCCTCTGGAAACAGGACTTTCCTTATCCTCAGTACCTAGTGCAGTTTTTTATACACAGGTGTTCAATAGTACTAATGATAATAAAATCAAACACCTGACTGTGCCAGGCAGTGATCTAGATGGTTTAAGTCTTATGCATATTATTAGCTTGTTTAGTACAATTCTGTGAGGTAGGTATTTTTTTTTCCCACACTTTCCAGTTGAAGAAACTGAGGTAAAGAAAAGTTATCTAATTTTCCCCAGCCACACAGTTAAGTGGAAGAGCTAGTATCAAACTTTGGTAGTCTGGCCCCCAGAGTTCATGTTCTTAACCACTGCATGGTACAACCTCCATGATGATTGTAATCATGAAGGTATGCTTGCAACACAATCCAAAGATTAGTCTTAGACTAGTCTCTGTTAGATTCGTTGAAGCACAGTTGAGGGAGGTGAGGTTGGAAAGGTATATTAGGAAGGACCATATTGTGAAAAGCCTTGAATTGCTGGCTAAGTATTAGGGAGCCAAGGGTCAGAGTACTAGTTTAGAAGGTAGATCCTAGTTCTAGTCCTGACTTTAAAACATAGTACCTCATATGTCTTGGACTTTGTCACTTATCTTGGAATCTAGATTAATTGACCTGTGAAACAGAGCAAATAATCTTTCATATCTACTTCCATAGAGTGTTATGAGGTTTTAATGAGGGAGTGAACATGAAAGCTCTTTGAAAATTATAAAGTATCAGATAAATACAAAGTATTACAAGGATGTGAAGCACTGTTTTGTGGGGGGCGGGGGAGGAAACAGTCTGTACTTCGGGAAGAATGATCTGCTATATGCAAAATAGAATTGAGGAGTGATTGTAAGAAAATAGCACTGAGTTGTCTTGGGCAGCTGTGGGTTGAAGCTGAGGAAAATGGAGCAAACAGGGCTCTAGGCTTCCCTGCTTGGAAAGAATAGCTCTACTTTTATCTTTTTATTCTTGTGATAATGAAAAACACAATTGGCTGATAAATAAGAGACTGAAATAAACATATCCATGGGACTCTGTACTTAAGTAATAAGTATCAGACCGCCTTTTTTGTTTGTTATGCTGTATTGGCAGTCTTTTCAGTCCAAAGTTACTCTTTAACCTCATTTTCTCTGTGAATTTTATTTTTTGTGTTATCTTCTTTAATGTCGCTAATTTTGGTACTCAGTGAATTTAGTTATTCCTTCTAAATTTATAGAATGCATGAAGTATTTGAGATTACTAATCCACAAAGTATATATATACTATCTTTACATTTAACAATGTGATACGATTAATATATTGACCCTCTGGTTTGAGGCATAAACATCATTATCTAGCAGAAAGGCATTGAATTTACCCAAGCACTTGAATATAAAGTTAAGATGCTGGAACTTCCCTGGCAGTCCAGTGGGTAAGACTCTGCGCTCCCACTGGAGGGGGCACAGGTTTGATCCCTGGTTGGGGAACTAAGATCCCGAATGCCATGCATTGAGACCAAAAAAAATTGTTTAATAAAGTTAAAGATGCTAAAGTACAGAAGGTAATGTTTTTTAAAGACAGATGTTAATCATTCAATTATCTTGATCATAAAGGAACAATATCGTCATAACCCCTGTAAAAAGTCAGATGTTGAATAGAATTTTGTTTTTGTTGGCACACCAGAGTGAAAGAATTAACGGCAGCATAGTGAATGGGTTGAGAGCATGGGCTTTGAGGACAGACTACCTGGGTTCGAATCTTAGCTTCATTGTTTTTCTGTGCTTCAGTTTCATCATCTGTAAATATAATATTTCTTCCCTCACAGACTTGTTGAGAGGATTAAGTGACATAATACTTATAAAGCCCTTAGAACACTGCCTGATACATTGTAAATATTCAATAAGTGCTGTGATGCTATTGATGATATTCTTCTAGGAGCATAATTAGTCTACTCAGTGGGGTTAATTTGTAAATTGTCTGTTTAAACACTAGAGAAATTCTTTCTAACATATTTGTTTTATTTTATTAAAGTTAATGCTGAATTAAGTTCTGACCAGAAACAGCTGACAACCATTTTCTTACTGAGATAAAAAGGAAAATAGCTACGGGATGCTTAAACCTAAAACATTATTTCACAAGCAAATTCAATAGAGAGACAAATTCCTTACCATTTTGAAAAGACAGCTAATATAAAGCTCTTTGGAAAGACTTTGGCAAACTAATGGGAGAATTTTAAGAAATGAGAAATTACTCTATAAATGGAGGGAACTATGCTATGAATGAAACTGTACTACATGGTTTCAAGGAAACTAAGATTATTAGCACCAAGTATATGTATACTTGGTGCTAATAAACTAAGGTTCATTAGGCCCATGAACCTTAAGAATTATGCGTTGTCTCCTGGTGACAATTTTTAGGCTTAGTTGATTGATCTGTTGTTTTAAAGTAGTTTTATTTGGGGAATTCCCTGGTTAGGACTCTGCACTTTCACTGCCGAGGGCCCCAGTTAGATCCCTGGTTGGGGAACTAAAATCCCACAGGTCGGGGGTGAGGGGCGGTGGGAGGGTGGGGGGGAGTAGTTTTATTTGATCCCAGTTAATTTAAAAATTATATAAAAACCAACCTGAAATCAGTAAACGTGGAAAAATCACAATAAAGCTTTATAAAGCCTGTAGAGATTTATGCTTCTATTAATGTTCTGATAGAAGTTGAAACATAGACTACAGTTACTCCTCAAACTTTATGGCTGTCTAAGCCTTTTACAAAAAAAGATAATTTTACTGAGTACTTTACTAGATTTTTATCCCTCACCCCCCACCACCACCGTATTTATTAAGAAAAGAGTTTATATGTTAAATAGTGCCCATTCATTTCCTTAAACTTTTTTTTTTTTTTTGACAAAATAAAGTTTTTTTTCCGACAGGAATCCCTAAGTGACCTGGCTTATGGACAGCAATTTTCCAAATCTGGGTTTCTTATTTGTGAGGTTTAAGCAAAACAGTTGACAGCTTTGGCATTCAAATCTCCTAATAATATTTTTAATGAATGCTTGGTGTAAGATGAGCAATTGGTTCCAGACATCTACTAGATACTTTTTTTTTTTTTTTTTTGTCTGTGCTGGGTCTTAGTTGGCAGCACTCGGGATCTTCCTTGTGGCATGCGGGATCTTTAATTGCAGGATGTGGACTTCTTAGTTGTGGCATGTGAACTCTTAGTTGCGGCATGCATGCGGGATCTAGTTCCCCGACCAAGGATCGAACCTGGGCTCCCTGCATTGGGAGCACAGTCTTACCCACTGGACCACCAGGGAAGTCCCATACTACTAGTATGGGAGGTCACATACCACATACATATTTACTTATAAAAATGACTTCTGCATTAAAACATAACCAAGTGTATCTTATTGAGAGATTTATCAGGATTGGGAGAAATAAATTCTTAATTGTGTATGCCTGATAGCTTAGAAACTCTTTCTATCGTTAATGTCATCAGTGATATATTAAAAGCAGTAGGTACCATTTATTGAGCACTTACTGCATTGCTATGAACTGCTTTACATGTATCTAATATAATCCTTTCAACAATCCTGTGAAGTTGGTACATAGCCAATTAAGATTGAGACATTTGACCAAAATCACATAGTTATTAAATGGTAGAGCAATATTCAGATATAGGTCTGTTTGATTCTGAGGTCCATGCTCTTAACCCCTATGCTGTTACTGTGTAATACTGGCTCTGGATACCTGCTCATGGTAGTAAATTTAGAAATATATGAAGGAACTTCCTTTTTTGTAACACATTTCACACTTGTAATCACTCCATGTTTTTCCTCTACTGGACCATAAATTCTTGCTTTTGATGTTTTCAGTCTCTCACCATCCTCTACTGGTTTAGCCCCTCTTCTCCCTTTTCGCACTTCCCATGACAGAATCTGTCACTCTGTACTTAATTGTTGTACTTACTTATCTTCATCCCTGAGTAGACAGACTGCGAGCTCCATGTGGGGAGGGATTATTTCATACTCATTTTTGTACCTCTGTTATCTGTCTAGCTCAAGTTCTAGTATTTAGTAAGTACTTAATAAGATGAAATTCCTGTAACTCCGTTGTTAAGATGTATCTATTATTAATGTATTCTTTTCTTTTGTCTCTTCTTCTTATAAATTTGGGATCATGTTGCACAGGCAGTTTTGTCTATGATTTTTATTCTATGAGCATTTTCCCAGATCACAATATATTTATCCAAAACATAGATTTTTTTTTTAAGTCTTCATGAGGTCATATAATAATACCTCCCCTCTAAACAAAAATAATAGAATTCATGTGGAAAAATAAGAATAGTGAAGAAGATAAGAGTAATGCAGGCAGATTTGTTGTTCTAGATAATAAAATATATTACAAGTTATATTTTGTATGACAGGAATAGATGAATGGAACAGAAATTCCAGAAATGGACTGAAGTGTATATTTAAGAATTTAATATTTCATAAAAGTAGCATTTGGCATTAATTGGGGAAAGGTTGGATTTTTTTTCAATAAAGAGCAATGTTAGAATGACTTGTTAACCATTTAGAAATAAAGTCTAAGTTCTGTTATGTTAACATTAAGTAGTTATTATAGGTGTATATATGGATGTGTATGATGTCCAGGGAGAGGAGGGAAGAATTAGTTTTGAGAGCTACTTATCTAACCAGGGTAAAGCCAAAGATTGTTTTTCTCTTTTAGAATAAGCCAGTGATAGCTTCCCAAAGGAGGTAAAAATTCAGTGCTTCCTAGCGTGAAAGAATTTGGAAGTCTAGATTAGAAATTTATTCTTCAAAAAAAAAAAATTTTTTTTTCTTGAGAAGAGGGTGATAGAAGCCCTGAAAGTGACTCATATATTTTGGAAAGATAAAAGTAGCATTGAATAATCTGAAAAAATATAAGAAGGTAAAGTATTTTTTTAAAAAGAGGAGAAAAAGAAGAGGTTGACTATTGTGCATGACTTGGTGAATTTGAAGAAGAACCTAATGTTAAACAGTTCACAAGGAGGGAAGAGCGTGATTTCGGCACTGCTGTTAGAGAGTGACTCATTTTACACCCTGAGGGGACAAATCAGAAAAAATGACCAAGTCCTAGATGAAGTTACACATAAACAGTGAAAAGAAAGCAAATTCAGGGGATAAACTTCCTTTGATAATAAAGGAAGTAGCGAGAGTGGAATAAATGGTTAATTCATAAGTTTTCTGGAGTTTCTTAGACATTCCATCTAGTCATATAATGTGCCCAGCAGAAGTTGGGTAAAGGTTTTTACCGTCATGTTATTGGGTATTTTTCCTAGCCCTTAAAATGTACTTGGGAGGAAGAAGAGCAGTAGTTTAAAATTACAGCTTAGTTCAACATAAGGAATTTGGGGTTTTGCATTTAGTTTTTGGCAGAAGTGACAGATACCTAATTGACACTGTTAAATTTTAGATGGTATGTCTTCTGCTGATCCCAGCTCTGATTGGAATGCGCCAGCAGAAGAGTGGGGAAATTGGGTAGATGAAGAAAGAGCTTCACTTCAAAAGTCCCAGGAACCAATTCCTGATGATCAAAAAGTGAGTAAAGGGATTAGTGGGTGTTTATTTCTCTAAGCAACCAACTGTATTGGAATTATTAAGGGTTACATTCTGTATTACAAATATATCCAGAGGTAGAGTTGCTTCAGAGAGACATTCTAATCATATTTGCTTCAGTCATCTTATGTCCACATGCCTTCTCTCCATTACTGTTTCTTCTTTCCACAAATTATTGAGGATTCTACTATGTGGAAAGCACTATTATATACTGATAAGAAAAAAGACGCACAATTCCTGTCCTCATCAGAATTATTATAACAGCCTACCAACTTTTAGTGTGTTTAGAGAAGAGTAGATTGGTTCTCAATGAAAAATTAAGGAAAGCTTCATAGCAAGATAAGACTGAGAACCTTATGAAAAAGGGACCAAGGCAGGAAAGTAACATGTTTGGTGGAGAGGTATAATACACGTGTGGAATCAATTGGTGGTAGGATCAATTGTTTGTACGTCAGTCTCCCTTTCTAGGCTTCATTCCTTAAAGAAAGGGACCGTGAAGTTTTTATTTTTGTAGCTCTATAAACTAGAGCTACAAAACATGATTCACATTCAGTAAATGAATAAATAGATGAAATGAGTGGTATATATACCTTGCCACATTTTTATGGAATTCTAGAAGTAATGAGAACCTACTGACAGCTTTTAAACTAGGGATAACCTAATCATTGCTAGGGTTAGAAAAATTAGGCTGGGAGCTTCCCTGGTGGTCCAGTGGGTACGACTCCAAGCTCCCAGTGCCGGAGGCCGGGGTTTGATCCCTGGTTGGGGAACTAGAATCCTGCTTGCTTGCTGCAGCTAAGAGCCCTCATGCTGCAACTAAAAGATCCCGCATGCCGCGACTTCCCTGGTGGTCCAGTAGCTAAGACTCCACACTCCCAATGCAAGGGGCCCAGGTTCAATCCCTAGTCAGGGAACTAGATCCCACATGCCGCAACTAAGAGTTCAAATGCCACAACTAAAGATCCCACATGCCACAACTAAAAAAAGATCCCATGTGCCACAACGAAGATCCCGCACACAGCAACAAAGATCCCGCATGCCGCAACTAAGACCCAACACAGCCAGCCAAACAAACAAACAAATAAATAAATAAAAATAAAAAGATCACTCATGCCGCAACTAAAAAAGATCCTGCGTGCTGCAACGAAGATCCTGTGTGCCACAACTAAGACCTGGCACAGCCTAAATAAATAAATTTTTTGAAAAAGAAAAATTAGGCTGGATATAGCAAAAATGAGAAGACTGGTTTGGGAGGCTATTTTATACTATTTTGATTTCATGAATCAGGAGGAGATAATGAACTAAGTTGATAGCTTTGAAAAATAAATGGAAGTGGTTATTTACAAGAGTCATTAAGCTACTGATAGAACTTTTCTACTGGTTGGTTATAGAAAGAAGGGTGAAAAGTCAAAGAGGCTCTGAAGATACTAGGGCCATTATTATTCAACAGACATTAATTGCATCTGCCATGGGTCAGGTATTGTGCTAGTAGAGAAACAAGACACAATTACTGCCTTCGAGGAGCCTACAGTCTAGTTAGGGAGGAGAGGAGGGAGACAGGCACATTGGAAGATAAAAGTAATGTTATAATGTGTTAGGTATTATGGAAGCACTTCGGCGTTTTAGCAAAGGCATCCCAGAGGTTAAAGCAGAATGTGTAGCAAAGAGTGATCAGAAATGAGACTGGAAAGGGAAGCAGAAACCAGGTTCTACAAGCCCTTGAATGTCACGTTTAAAACCTTGGATTTCCCGCCTGCCAATGCAGGAGACATGGGTTCGAGCCCTGGTCCAGGAAGATCCCACATGCTGCAGAGCAACTAAGCCCATCTGCCACAACTACTGAGCCTGCGCTCTAGAGCCCGCGCTCTAGAGCCCACATACTGCAACCACTGAGCCCGTGCGCCTAGAGCCCATGCTCCACAACAAGAGAAGCCACCACAAAGAGAAGACCGCGCACCACAATGAAGAGTAGCCCCTGCTCACCGCAACTAGAGAAAGCCATGCACAGCAATGAAGACCCAGTGCAGCCAAAAAATAAATAAATAATTAATTTTTTTAAAAAAATTGTTCTTAAAAAAAACAAAAAAAAATGACTTCCAGAATTGTAGCTTAGGTAACTGGGATGGTGAAAGTGGTGCTTCCAACAGAGAAAGCAAAAGCTAGTTAATTGGGGGAAGATGGTTGATTCAGTTTGGGATGTGTTAGATGTAAGGTATTTTGTAGATATGCCTAAGAAAAGTTGGTTGCAACAGGTTAAAGCTTTGGGAAAAGATTTGTATTTGGAAGTAATTAGTATATGGTTGTTAAAACTTTGAGGGTGAGTGAAATGTGTAGAAAATTTTATAGAGTTGAAAAGAGCAATGTAATGAGCATAGAAATCTGGGGAACTCCCAACTTTTAACCCATGAAAGAAACTGAGGGAGGAGAGTTCTGGGACACAGAGGCTGAGACATTTGTTCTCTGGTAATTTAGAGCAGTTTGATTAGAAACCTTGGACTACTAGCCAGTCGGAGTAAGTTGAGTAAAATGATGGTTAAAAAATAATAAGGTATTTTTTTCTTGGGACTTCCCTGGTGGTCCAGTGGGTAAGACTCCGTGCTCCCTATGCAGGGGGCCCGGGTTCAATCTCTGCTTAGGGAACTAGATCCCTCATGCTGCAACTAAAACCTGGTGCAGCCAAATAAATAAATAAAATTTTTTTTTAAGATTTTTTTTCTTAAGCAAGTTTGGGTATGGATGGAGGAGAAGTAGTGGATAATAGCAAACTGTAGTATGATGAAGGGTTTTGTTGGGGTCGTTTGTATTTTAATGATAGGAGAGATTTTAGTGCAGGGGTCAGCAAACTTTTATTTAAAGGGCCATGCATTAGTGCAAAAGCAGCCATAGACAGTATGGATGGATTATAAATTGGCTGAGAAGCAGACTGACCAGAGTTCTTGTGACCTGAATATCCTTCAGAGGATGCATCTTTTCATATGACATTTTAATCATTGTGAGCCTATGGTAAAAACTTCTGTGGAAGTTTCTCCACAACTAGCAGCCAACTTGGACTGAAAGTCTCTTAGCTAAGTTTAGCAGGATTTGTGCAGGATTTGGTTTGGTTTTGTTTTTCCATCTGCTAGTAATTTCTGTAAACTATTTGATGGTTCATGAGACCTCCAAAATCATCCTAATGACTATGGTGCTGAGCAGAGAAATAGCAAGTTAGCTATATCATCTCTCCCGTTAAGTAGAGTCTAAGAATCTTGGCTGTCATCTGTACAGAATAATCTAAAAGCACTTTTCCATAGAAAACTCAGCTATATGGTATGTGTGAAGAAATATAATAGTTTTTTAGGGATGTGTTAGATGTAAGGTATTTTGTTTTTTAAACTAATTAATCATACTAATTTAACAATTCTAATTTGCTATTCTTGTCATGCAGAATATTATTTTCAATGACATTCCTTCTCAAATTCAATTTTTTTAACTAAGCCTTTTCTTTTGAGGTAATTATAGAGTCACATGTACTTTTTAAAATATTTTATTTATTTATTTATTTATTTTGGCTGCGCTGGGTCTTCATTGAGGCATGTGGGCTCAGAGTTGCCGCATGCAGGCTTCTTGGTTGCGGCATGCTACCTCTTAGTTGTGGCCTGCATGTGGGATTTAGTTCCCCGACCAGGGATCGAACTCAGGGCCCCTGCATTGGGAGCACGGAGTCTTACCCACTGGACCAGCAGGGAAGTCCCAGAGTCACATGTACTTGTAAGAAATAATGCAGAAAAATCCCTTGTACCCTTTACCCAGTGTCCCCCAATGGTAACATCTTGCAAAAGTGTAGTACAGTGTCAAAACCAGGACATTGGCATTGACATGGTCAAGATACGGAACATTTCTAATGTCTTTTGTGAAATATCTGTTGTATCTTTTGCACACTTTCTGATTGGATTGTTTATTTGTTTACTGTTGAATTTTGAGTTTTTTTTTATATAATCTAGATACAAGTCCTTTGTTGGATATGTGGTTTACAAATATTTTCTCCTACTCTGTAGCTTGTCATTCTCTTAACAGGGTCAAGTTCAGTTTTAATGCAAATAGTTCTGTGTTTAAATAAAATGAATTACCTAAGAAACGAGTTTTTAAAAACCAAGGTTTACACAGCTGTCTAATTGATCATGTAGTGAGTGATGAAAGATGTAAGAAAAAGAGGTTTATCGTAATAGAAGAGTGAAGTTCCATGCACTTTTGTTATTTTTTGAGTATGTGATTTCAGATCAGTTTTATTGTTACTAATTCTTATTTAGAATTTGGGAGAAAAAGACTGCACCTAATGAATTATTTCATAATAATTTTCTGAATAATGAAAACTTAACCAGTTGGTTCACTTCAGTATTTTTGCTTTTAAAATCAGGTTTCAGATGAAGATAAAGAAAAGGGAGAGGGAGCTCTTCCAACAGGGAAATCTAAAAAGAAGAAAAAGAAAAAGAAGAAGCAAGGTGAAGATAACTCTCCTGCACAGGTAAAGTATAAAACAACAGACATCATTCATTAAGCACCTACTGCTGACTTGTGAAAAGATAATTTGCAGATGCTGAGAAAATGTAGAGATATAAAGACACCATGTGAGACATCAAATTTACTTGAGAAGCATTTGAAAAGTCATAGAATGTTTTAAACATTTTATGTGTCATACTGTAATAAAAATGTTATTGCTCTAAAGAAAATATCAAAGGTATAAACCAAAAGCAAATAACTAAAATTCTAAATTAGATGCATTTTAGTTTATATTATGATGAAATGGAACAGGGAGTACAGTATTTCACACATACAGAAATTCTTTGAGTAATGGAATTCAGCAAATTAGAATTTTAGCACATTTAGAAGAACCATGCGCATAACAAGTGGAGTCTTTCCCTTGACTTTGAGTTTGCTGGCTGTTCGACTTGGTATCCTTTCCTGATTTTTTGGCTTCTAACAGAAACTTTCTATTTATATCACTCCTACATTTTCCTTTTCTTTTCGTTGGTTTTTCCTATCTGGGAAAGTATTTTTAGATCATTATATAGATGAAAACAAAGATTTTAATTTCAAATGTACTAGATTACTGGAAATATGCATGGATTTGTTTTTGAAAGCATTATCACTATTACATTACAACTTATGAAAATCTTATTTCTTACTTACAACCATGTGGCTAATTGTTTTCATTCCTTTAAATGTAGGAGATAACCAGAATTTCTAGAGGATAGGCTACATAGTAATTTTCCTACTTATTCTATTTGGAAAAAGTTTCAGCGTGACTTTTTAAAGAAGTATGTGTTCAGTTCTTTTTTGTTGTGGGGAGCACAACCCTTCATAAATGATACCATTCCATTATCAGTATTAGTTTTTTCTCAGTAATAATAGATGGGCATTAAGGTTAACATAACTAAGATCAATGGGCATAAAAACAAAAACTATACAGTAGGTGTGCTTTTCTTGTTAGCTGAACTAGCTGATGAGAAGTGTTATTGATAGGCATACTTTGTTTAGTAATACTATCTGAAATCCATTTAGCCAAACTTTTTCTGGATTTCTGTGATTCATACTATGGACTTTACTAATACTGCTTTTCTGACTTGTAGATTAGGTGAGTTCCTTTTAAAAGAAATTTTGTGGGGTAGATGTATTCCTTAAATTTCAGATTAATTGGCAAAGGTCATTAAATTGTGAAAGTTCCTTTGGTATTCTGATATTCCTTTTTAAAAAATGTTTGATCTGTTTTTTAAATATAGTGAATAAGTATACAGGTTTTAGAGTCAGATCTGTATTCACATTTTAGTTCTGCCATTTACTGAGTTGTTTGTTTGTTGTATTTTGCACAAGTTCCTTAACTGCATAGATTGTTTTGAGAATTAAATGAGATATCCGTGAAGTTCTGTGTAAAGTACATAGCACAGAGTAGCCTATGCATAAATGATTACGTTTTGGAATTTTTTTTTTCCTTACCATTCACAATGATAGTCCTATTTAATATATTCTAATTCATACTTACTTCACATACCTAAGCATGTAATGTCTTTTAAAAAGTTTGAAGACCTAAGAATGGAAATGTTCAAACTTGGAAAAGACCATAAAAATTATCTACACAAATTTTATTTTACAGTTGAGGAAACTGCAGTTTGGGGAAATCAAAGATTTGTCCTTGACGTAAGCATTTGTCCTTGACTTAGCTAGGTTGTGGCATGGCCAAAACTGAAATTCCTATCTGTGTCCTTTCTACTATGTAAGCTTAATTTATCTAGAAAATGCACTTACGTATAAATATTTCATTCCTTGAAGAAATCATTAAGTGAAATGCTATTTCTAAAGTCTTAAAGTAGCACCTAATTCCCCGTGTACTTTTTATAAAAGGAAAAAAATACTTGTTTGGTTTAGTAAATTAAATGGTTCCCATTTGGGGACGTGAGTGTGTTGTTTTTTAATTCACAGTTGATTTAAATCCCTGAGGAAAGCAGGGATGATGAACGTATATTCCATTTGTACCTATGGTTAAAATTCTTTGAATAATTATTTTTTTTATGCTCTTTTAAGCCATTTGGGCAGTTTCTGAAATAAAATTATCTTCTTGGAATATCTTCTGGACAGTAGTACTATAAACCAAATAGATTTTAATTAGTAAAAAAATGAGTGATTTGTATCATCTAATGCACTACTTTTCTCTGTAGGACACAGAAGAATTAGAAAAAGAGATTAGAGAAGAGCTCCCAGTGAATACCTCTAAGGTCCGTCCAAAACAGGAAAAAGCTTTTTCTTTGAAGACCATAAGCACTAGTGATCCAGCTGAAGCGCTCATCAAAAATAGCCAGGTAGGGCTTCCCTGGTGGCGCAGTGGTTGAGAGTCCGCCTGCCGATGCAGGGGACGTGGGTTCGTGCCCCGATCCGGGAAGATCCCACATGCCGCGGAGCGGCTGGGCCCGCGAGCCATGGCCGCTGAGCCTGCGCGTCCGGAGCCTGTGCTCCGCAACGGGAGAGACCACAACAGTGAGAGGCCCGCGTACCGTAAAAAAAAAAAAAAAAAATAGCCAGGTAACTTTCTGATATGTAAGGAATAAAATTTTGATGACTTGAGAATTGTATTAATAGTAATATTTTATGGAGGCCCATGCTAAACATTTTAAATACACCAAATTGCCCTTACAACAACCCCACAAGAAAGGTACAACCCATTATATAAATGAGTTTAGAGAAGTTGAATAAGTTGGCCCAAGTCCCATAACTATCAGATGCAAAACTAGAGAGAACCACTAGACTGTATTTTTTTCTTAAATATCTAGGCATACAAGGGATAGATGGCTTACAGAAAATGTGACTGGTTCCACTTTCCCAAAAGCATGCACACAATATAAAACGACTATGGTCCGACCTCCCAGAATGTAGCATTTGTTTAAAATTTGCTGACAGTATCTTGAACTGTGTGCCTCTGTGGAAAATTTTGATATGTCAGAAGGGACCATTTTACAAAAGGTCTAGACCAGTGACACAAAGACCATAGCTCTTTAAAAGTCTGATTTCTAATTTGGTAAGTTATATCATATAGAAATATAAGAAATATGAATGACCATGAAATTCTGCATGGTTCGTTTATATACTCATTCAAAAAATGTATTGAGAACCTACCACAGTGCCACACACTAGTTAAGGTTCTGGGGACACATCAAAGAACAAAGCAGACAAAAAAATCTCTGCCTCTATGGAGGCTACATATTTAATGAGACAGCTTTACACAAGAACCTGAATTACTGTTAAGAGAAAGAATTTGTAACATCCTGATACTAAAAATCTTAACCATACTTCCTATTTGGACTTGATGCTTTTAATTCCCTGAGAGTATTTTGACATAAAAGAATGCAGTCTCAATACATACATAGGACTTCCCTCATAGCGCAGTGGTTAAGAATCCGCCTGCCAATGCAGGGGACACGGGTTTGAGCCCTAGTCCGGGAAGATCCCACATGCCGCAGAGCAGCTAAGCCCGTGAGCCACAACTACTGAGCCTACGCTCTAGAGCTCCCGTACCTAGAGCCCGTGCTCCACAACAAGAGAAGCCACTGCAATGAGAAGCCCGCGCACCACAATGAAGAGTAGCCCCCGCTCACCGCAACTAGAGAAAGCCCACGTGCAGCAACGAAGACCCAGCGCGGCCAAAAATATATAAATAAACTAATTTTTTTAAAAATACATACATAAATTTAATAGTAAGACTGCAAAGGGTCACATGACATTTTGATGTTTTACTTAATAAGTCATTTTCAGAAGCCATCTTGTAAAGGATATTTGAGTCCTTCTGTGATTTAATATAGGTAAATGAGAGAATGGGGGGGAAAGAGATTTAAAATGAGTACTGAACTTTTGGGTATGAAATAAATACAGGAAACATTATTAAAGTTGAACCAAGCAACATAAATGCAGCTTCAGATACCTGAGATAGGAAGAAGGAATTCTAGTAGTTACCTGGGTGCACACCTGCCTCTTGTTTCCTTTCCCGTTGTGCTTTCTTGAACCCATGGAGCCTGGAAGAACAAGGGGCAAGAGAAGCATGACTTACCCTTGTTTCTGTATTCAAAATAATCATCACAGGTAGAGCTAAAGGGTGAGATGATCTCTTACTCATCTGTTACAGCCTCAAGGCACTGTAGGTGTTGGAGTTTCTGTTGTTACCTGTCCTGAACATTCATTAACAGTCAGGCCTCATTCAGGCAAAACAGTTAGTTTACCTCTCTGCTCAGAGGTTGCAGAGGAGAAGGAAGATTCAAGAGTTCAGGCCCTACGCATTATGACTTCACTACCAGACTCAATAAAACTCTGACGATTTGGACCTGAGTTTTACTAGTTGCTTTAATAGATAAGACTCTAGTAGCCATAGTCTGCTGTATCTGAGGCCATCTTTTTCCTTGGGGAGGAAACTGAACCTATTGCTGCTGCTGTTTGAGATATCTCTAACTCTTGAGAAGAACAAAAGGGAGTATCACCTACTGGTAGTTCAGAAATTTGCTATTTTCTTTTTGCCTTCACATGAAAAGGTTTTGAGGAGGTGAGAGTTAGTGGGAAGTGGGCAGAAGCATTGAATACCAAAACATAAAAAAATCCTGTTACTTGTAATGAAAATGGAATTATTCACTCATGTGAAATTCAGTAAACATCTTGTGATTTTACACATTTATCCATTTTTATCCCAACCTGTATTTGTGGATATTGTAAATAAAGACTTATTTGGTTATGTGTCACTAGAGGGCAGGCATGAGTTGTAGCGCTTCTGCTGATAAATTATTTGGCAACCATGTTCATATTACTGCTATACAGCCTCTTGTATTACTATGATATTTATTTTTATTTGAAATTTTTAATGAAAATCTAAGATAATTTCATTTCAAAATAGCCTATCAAGACTCTTCCACCTGCTATTTCTACCGAGCCATCTGTTATTTCATCAAAAAGTGATTCTGACAAGAGCTCTTCCCAAGTGCCACCGATGCTACAAGAAACAGATAAATCCAAGTCGAATACTAAGCAAAATAGTGTGCCTCCTTCACAGAGTAAGTAATTCTCATTTTTGGTTCTTTTGGTGTTCTCTGTACTGTCTATAAGTGTTACTATCTTAAAAGTCTAATGGATTACTTATTAGAGCATCCCTTTCCTCCTTTGTGAAGATTCCTTGGACCCTTGTGGACCTCAGTTGGGAGGACCAGGGAGCTGAAATCACTTCAGGCAAGAATAGGTGGCCAAGGACATACACAGAGGAGGGCTATGCCTGCCCTTACTTGCCCAGTCCCTCCCTTTTTCTGTGCACATGTTCTTGAGACTGCAAATTGTTCTGTGCCCTTTTTTTTCCACCTCTTTTTCTCCCTTTAGCTACCTTTAGTGTCCATTTTACCCACTTTCACTTTTATTACTTAGATTGAGTCTTTTAAACAATGGTTTTTCTAGGTCAAAACTGGTGAAATAATATCCATATCGTTAAACCAAATAATACAGAGGAAAGGAAAAGAGGAAGGCAACCAGAGAATATCCTGAAAAACATGTAACTAGAACTTGAAAATGTAAACATAAAATGTGAGGCATCGTTAGTGGATCTCAAAGCATGTTTTTATTGATACTACTTTCATATTTTTGAAACAGAACAATATTTACTGTCCTCCTAACTCTCTCTCTTTTTTTTCCCCCCCTTTTAGCCAAGTCTGAAACTAGTTGGGAATCTCCCAAACAAATAAAAAAGAAGAAAAAAGCCAGACGGGAAACGTGAATATTTTTTTTTCCTGAATTGGACATGTGTTTGCAAACACTGTCTTGAAGATTATGCTGTTTATGCAATAATTTGTGAACATGTACAGAGTTTTATATAAATTTAAACCAATTTTTAAAACAAAACTGTGAACACAACCACCGTAAAAATGGAATCAAAGGAAAGTTAATTTATGAAATTAAGAGGTCAGCAGAATTGGAAGACACTTGGGGAAAGTCTTTTCAATCTAACAAGAACGATCTTAATTTAAGAATATTATCCTGGTTTTACAACAGTGCCCTGTTTACAACAGATTGTTCCCTGTCTCATCTGCAGCTGAGGAATAAAGGATTCTGATTAGAGAGAGGGTTGCCTACATATTCGTAGGCAGCTTCTTGGATCTTATGCACGGAACTTAAACCATTTGAATCTGTTTTATGCTTAAATCAAAGTGCTTTGATCAAATGCATAATCTGCCATATCTTTACATATTTGTTGGTAGCAATTTGTATTAAAGAAATCACAAGTGCAAATAAAAAGTCATTTATCGTTTGTTTAACTAAACTGTCATGGTTTAGTTTACAATTTTTAAAAAGTTCTTAAAACATTCAAAATGCAGTTGACACTTGTATGGCTTATGAAGTTATTTTTGATAGTCTTACTTTACTTGAATTGTTCAAAGTACAGTATATTTTAAGTTAAGAAAGGTAAACTATATATTTGTTTTATACTTTTAAGGTTCAGACTCACAAATAATGCTCTTGTTGATGATTTGAAAACTTTCAGGCAAAATCCACCTTACATTTTTTCCTTTCCCTAGCAATTACTTTTTTTTCCAGCACCAACTCTTCATCATTACTAATACTTTTTTGACTTTAAAAATGAAATCTTTCACAAACTAGTTATACAGACAGAACTTTGATTATATGATGGAGAATGAAAAACTAAAGTCAGACAGCTTTAATTGACATTGTCAAGACCTCCAGTTATCAGGAATACATTTTTTTACTGCCTTAACCTGTAGTGCGTAGAATATGCATCAATTTCTTGAAGGGGATTCGTGTTTTTATAAGAATTTTCATGTAATTATTGCAATCGTGATCAAATAAGGAACGTTTCCTGCTTGAAACTGTATTGATTTAAATGATGTGTGAGATGTTTCACCATTTTCAGGCACTGTGTAATTCTATTGTAATAAACTGGCAGGTATCTTTGTAACTATAAATAGTGCATGCTCAGCCATGTACACTGTAAATAGCCTTTACCAAACGTGTTTGACAAGGACCATAATTAACATCACTTAGTGAATTGTGATAAAGAAAAAAAGCCATGATTTATTCGATGTGATTGGCTTAATTGTTTTCCTGTGGCGCCAAGAATGAAACTGTTTAACAGCTGTAACCAATGGTACTGATCTGTCCATCCAATCTTGTCTTTATTATATTTGACTGTGGTTTGATAGTATTGCATTGTCACACTAGGAAAGCTAAAGAAACAAAATGCTTTTAGTTTTGCTGAAGACTGGCCTTATTAATGGACAGCTTTCCTAACAAGTGATTATTAACTTTTATCAGGTGTTAACATCTGTTTCAGGAACATGGCAGTATGTTTACATGTCAGAAGTTTTGTTTAATTCTATATTTCTAAATTGATTTGTTTAAATAAATTCAGCAAATGGATAGCATTGTTTTTATTTGCTTCAATATCGGGATAAATAAGCTAAAGTGCCAGGAGTGGATTTCTTCAAATGACTGTGCTCTGTTCGCTTTATATAGATGCTTCCTAAAGAGATCCAAGGATTCCTACATTGCAGCACTTTGTAAAGGTATCACAAAGGAGAATTGAATAGGGAGTCTGTGTAATTTTAGAATGTGCCAAAAGATCTATGCTCAACAAATTGAATTGAACTCTCTCAACTCTACCTCACCATTTCTTTATTTTAGAATTGTGTTGGCTATGTCGAATGCCGGACTTTATTTCTCCAGCTTAGTATCTCTCATTCAACCACCAACACCAGTGTTAGAAACACCATCTTTTGAGGGCAGATTCGGTGTTGAGACGGAGAAGTGCACTGCTAAATTGGGGTGGATCCAGGATGGAGATACCTGTCCCTTCTCTCTGGCTCAAGAACCAGGGCATGGATTTTTATCTTTTAAGAGATGGCAGCTATGAGTGATAAAATTAGTAAGTTCATTCTCTTACACATGAGTGAGATGCAAACTCTTGCACAAAGGATCATTGTTCATCGCTCTTCACTTGTTCCATAAAGTTGTTTATGTGACATGAAAGCAGTTTCTGGCGTCTGAACAGAGGAACTGTTTTCCAACATAAACTCAGAAGGCAATAAAATCAAGGTAATGATTCAGGGGAGAGAGGGGAGCCTGTTGTCCTTTGGAGGCTTGGATTAGATGCTCCCCAAACCACTAGTAGGGAGATAAGTGATCCCTTCAGGCTTTGTCAGGGCTGGAGGGGACCCTTGTTCTGATTAGCAAACAAAGCCTCCTAGAGAAACTACTAAAACTCTCTCTCATCCTGACCTGTCTGCCCGTACTTAACTGAATGAAAATCCTTCCCTGTTCTGGAGCAGGGAGTAGTGGGTTAGGAATTCCCCAGACTGGAATCCTACCTCTCTGTATCCTGAATTGAGCAAAACAATAGTTGAGAGAGTCCAAAAAACAAGTATTGAAATAAAATGTCATTAATGTAATTGACCGTGTTTACTTTGTGCATGCATTTTATTGGGCGGGCAGTGGGAATGACTCATCTGAATCTAATGGTATTATTTCATAGGCTAATCCAGTTTGTACTTGGGTTAAAGATATTGAAGGGCAATATTTAACTACAGAGTTTAGTTTTTCTTAATTACAAACAGTCCTCTATTAATAGAGTGTGAAATATCTTTCAAAATTTAGAATTTAGGATGTCTAACAGATGTCTTAAGACGTTCCTATAAGCTCATCGCACAAACTGGAATTACTTTCCAAAAGACTTAGGGAATGCAAATATGTTATTTGTAAAATGCATTGAGTATTGTAAATAAAACAAACCATTTTTGATTTAAGTTGCTCTTTACAGTTCTCTTACGGGAGGGCACTTTGCATCCTACGCTAGTCTAAAGGCAATGACTTTTTGATGTTCTTGATGTTTCTAAACTATAGGTTCTAAATGTTTCAAATGTTCTTGATGCTCTGAAACCATAGTTGTACTTGCAGGCTTTACCACTGGCAAGTCAAGTATTTGGAGTGAAACATCTCTTGAAATGTCCCTGTTCGTGACACAGTGTTCTCTGTGGGAAACAGCTTCCATCTTATATCATCTTAGCAGTAGATGTAACTGCCACCAGGTGTAGTGTATCACTTGTATCAACCTTTTAAATTAAGGAAATTAAACTCAAATTTGGCATTATGTATTAGTATGGCTGTGTCCTAAACAATAGTGACTTAATATAGAAGTTTATTTCTCTTGCATGTAGAAAAAAAAGAGAGAGAAAGCAGGCCCAAGAAAGCAGGCCAGGGCTACTCTGACAGTCTGCAGGGCCAGGCATCCAAGGTCCTTCTGTGTTGCCCTTCCACATTCTCAACACGTGGCTTTCGTGTCACGGTTGCAGGCAGCTGCACTAGCTAGAAACCTCCTCTCAGCATTTCTGCTCCCTTCCTTTAAGAACACTTCTTCAAGTTACTCACACCACACAGGCTTATCCACCCAAACTCAGTCAGTTGATCCTACTAGCTACAGAGGAGGATGGGAAGTCAGTGTTTCTCCTGGGCTGTCATGGGCCAAAGTAACATTTCAGGATTCATTACTGAGGAAGCAGTAGAGAAGTGGATATCAGGAACAGCTAGTGGTCTGTCACAGGGCTGACTACGTTGTGTATATCCTGCAGCCAAGCGTCACTTCTGAGGTTAGGTTTTAGCTTTTCCGATTGAGCGGAAAATTTTAAATCTCTTGGATGCTACTCAGAGTTGCAGCTAGTAATGTTTCAACTTACATATAGTAGATTGTGGAAGAAATTTCTGCCACTCAGTGACTGCTTGAAATCCTAGAGACCCAGAGGCTTCAAAAAACTGAGCAGCCTGCTCTCACACCTACAATGCAAGTATAGACTATAACAATTTTCAGTAGAAGTTACCCTGGTGCGTAATGTAATCTTTAAAAAATTAAAAGGCACTTTTACTATTCTAAATACTTTAACAGAATGATTTCTAATCCTAGCATCAAGAAAGGTATATGAGGTGCATTGTAAGATGTTTGCTACCTACCTAATTAACAATACTGAGGTTCATGAATAGGCTAATCTGAAGAAAATTTTAAGCAGATTCAAGGTCATCCCCCTGATAATGGCATTCTTTTTTGTATGTGTGCTTTCCTTTTTTATTTATTGTATCAAAGCATTCAAAATGAATATATGTAACATGTACATAAATTATAAAGCATAATAAACTGAACACCTCTGAAACCACCATTCTGCTTAAGAAATAGAACATTACCCGTAGGGGATCTTGGGGGTGAGCTTGCCGTTTGTTGTTGTCAGGTAACAGGACTGAGGCGGGGTGTAGGGGCGGGCTGTGGAGGCATGGATGAAAATAGCTACTCTCAGGCGCCCAGCTGGGCACAGCTCCTTTTCGGGGCCACAACTGAGTAGGGGTCCCAGGTAACACATAACCTGGTCTTGGAAGGCTGTCATGACAGACTCGCTATTGCTGCTTCCTCGAGTCACTCCACTGACATCTGTTGGGAAATTGTTATAGTAAATATGCATACGCACAGTGAATCTGAATGTGAATAGTGCCCTCGGAGTTAAGTAGTGCACGGTTTACATGGCAGCCTTTCCACAGGGAAAGAGGATAGCCAGGCTCTTTTCCAGACAGGAGCTTCCCCCAGGGTTCAGAAGAGCAGCGTGTGTCCTTAGGGCAAGTGTTCCTTGCGAAGTTTGCTGAAGGGGCTGCAGACATTCTGAAAAACACCACAAGGGTGTTTATTGGCAGGACAACCAGAGCTGTTAGCTACTTAAGACCCTGGAATTATGAATGATTTCTTTCTCTTCTAAACTGTCTTCAATAATTTAAAAAATACATTGCCGGGAAAATTTGGAGCTATTTCCATTTCTCATCAAAACTGAAATGACCACAATAATGAACAATGGAAGAAAACCTACCTTAGCACTGGAACTAGGAAAGGGGCATCCAAATGCCAGAAACCGGGGGACATTTGTATTATTAGCAATCAAAATCCAGAAATTTATCGGAAGAATAAAACAGGTATAATATCAGGAAATCTAACATTTCATTTAATCGCAAGATTAAAGCAGAAAAAGTACATGATCATGACACTAAGCTGAAGAAGTATGATAATCCAACAGCTATTCCAAATTTAGATTTTAAAAACTTGAAGTAGGTGAAATACTAAAGTCAAATCCATTAGAGTCAGAGCAAGGCAGGGTTTCTTGCTAGTCAACATTGTCTTAGGTATGAACAGTTAAAAAAATGCTTACATTGGGACTTCCCTGGTGGTCCAGTGGTTAAGACTCCGTGCTCCCAATGCAGGGGCCACGGGTTCCATCCCTGGTCAGAGAACTAGATCCTGCAGGCCACAACAAAAGATCCTGCGCGCCTCAACCAAGACCCGGCGCAGCCAAATAAATAAATATTTTAAAAAAAACATAGAAACCATCTATTTTTTTTAATATTTAAATTGATACATCAAAGAAGAGAGATCATTTTTCCCTGTTTGCATACCTAGAAAACCCAAGAGATTCTAATAAAAAGCTTATGAGCACTAAGAAAAGAATACACTAAAGTGGCAGATCCACAAAACCAATAGAATTTTATGTACTAGAATAAGCACCTAGAAGAGGAAATGGAAAAAATAATCCAATTACATCACAACGAAAACTGATTTTTGTTTTTTTTTTTTTTTGCGGTACACGGGCCTCTCACTGTTGCGGCCTCTCCCGTTGCAGAGCACAGGCTCCGGACGCGCAGGCTCAGCGGCCATGGCTCACGGGCCCAGCCGCTCCGCGGCATGTGGGATCTTCGCGGACCGGGGCACGAACCCGCGTCCCCTGCATCGGCAGGCGGACTCTCAACCACTGCACCACCAGGGAAGCCCTATGATTTTTTTTTTTTTTTTTTTTTTTTGCCCACGCCTCATGGCTTGTGGGATCTTAGTTCCCTGACCAGGGATCAAACCCAGGGCTCCAGCAGTGAAAGTGCCGAGCCCTGACCACTGGATGACCAGGGAATTTCCATAACTACCATGTCTAGAAATAAATGTTTCAAGAAAGATACAAGACCAAATGAAAACTGTAGTCTTTTTGAAGGACAGAATAATGATCTAACAAATGAAAAACCATCATTCTTTATTTGGAAAACAAAAATATCAATATTTCCCAAATATATAAATTCAGTTCAATTCCAGTTAGACGGAAACAGATTTTTCAAGTACCTCAAAGACTATGGAAACAAATAATTTTAAAAAACTGATGTAAGAAAAAGTAGCGAGCAGCTGCAAGAGAGGGCAGGGGGACCCGCCTCATGAATACCAGTTACAAGAATAAAATTTTAAATGACTTGTATCCATCAGGGTTCTTTGTTGTAAAACCCAGAATCCCCTCTGGCTAGTTTATGCTGAAAAGGAAGCACAAGACATCCAGATTCCCTTAACCTACCAGGAGTAACAC